CGGAGAAATGCGTGGACCTTTTTGCTTAGCTTCCACCACTGAGCTCTTTCCTTGACAGTGAGGCCCTGGGGGCCATGGCCTTGTCCCCTGGGATGAGGGCAGTGACCCACTGAACACCCACTGTGTGCAGAGAGGGTGAGACTCACTGGGGCCAACACTCAAAACCCAATACATTGAAATTGGAAAAAATCCATGGTGTCAGTTGCTCCTGCCCCTTAGTGGGCCAGCAAGAGCCTCCTCCAAGCACAGGGACCTGTTCCTTAGCTGTCCTCCTTATTGGTTGCGGACAGTCTGAAGTTTTTGGTTTAAGAAGTGTGACCACATACAGATGTCAGAGGAACATGTGTGTCATGATGGCCATCCCTAACAGGGTAATTACATGCCGCGAGTGCCTTCTTCGCACACCATGGCTATTTTTAACAAAGCTTTCCATCACTAATCCAGCCTCTCAGCGAGTGCGGCTGCTTACTGTGGACATAAGGATGGTAGTGTTTGCAGCGGCCCACTCAGTCTGGGAGTCTCCAACAGCCCACAGAGCTGTGTGATCAGTGCCCCACAACGGCACCCTCACTGGCCTGCTGAACTTTTATTAAATACCGATGAGATCCCATGAAGAATTGTCAAGATAGAATTGCTTTAAAATGCTTGTGTGAAATTCTCCAGCCTGCATTGGACGCCGTACTCACACTTATTTTGCACACCAGAAAAATTAGTCCATTGGTATAGGTGTGATTAAAACCAACAGTCACATCCGTGCTGCTAGGTTCCTGTTGGCTAGAAGAGATAAATGCTTGAAGATAAGCAGGACAGAGAAAAATGGCATGTGAGCTGATGCAGATCCACAGGCATCTTGGGCTGCAGGCTTGGGAGCTGGAGGCTTATGCCTAGAATGGACCGGTCCATGCTGCAGAGCCCTGGAGGATAGGGCCTGTACTTGAAGCCCCTGGGCTGATTATGGGCAGAACAGAGGCCTGGGAGGTCTGTCTCGGCCTGCTGCCCCCACCCCCAGCAGCTCCGTGATATGATAGTGTGTCTGCTCAGTAAGAGCTCTGGATGCCCTGCATATAACTTGTAGATGGCTCTGGCTAGAGTCCATCTTTCTGCCCTGTTCTCTTTTAATCGGTGTCTTTAAATTGACCTTCCTTCCCTGAAGGGCACTGTGCTGGCACTCACTGAAAAGAACTTTGAGGACACCATTGCACAAGGAATAACCTTCATCAAGTTCTATGCTCCGTGGTAAGTGGCCGTCTTCGACACTGGGCCAGCACCCTGTCACACAGCATGTTCTCCAGCTGATGGGCTGGAGTCACAGTTACACAGGCTGTCTTGCAGGGAGTACTGCCACTGTACCCTGTCAAGCGAAAGTTATTTTATAAATAAAAAAAAAAAAAAATGTTAATTTGCTTTAAAGCTCAATCTCCTTAGGCACAGATGTGAAAGTGAATTGGGATGGGCGTATAAAAAGTTAGGAGAGCTCAGCTTTCTCTTAGAGCCATTCAGTGCGTGACCTAGTTACCTGAACCTCCCTGCCATGTGGTCTTCAGGGACCAGAGTAAGAGTGGATGGAGAGCAAACTGAGACCGAGATAGCCCAGCTCCGGAGGACGGTAGATAGGTTCCAGGAATGGCCGGGATGCTGCATGTCCTTTTGAGACCCCAGAACCTCTTCTCCTTAGCTGTAAAATTGCAACAACACTTTGTCTTCATAAGTACGACAGTCACTTGAAGAAGCAGAGTCTGTGGAAGAGTGTTAGATGACTGACCCAAATACGCAGAGGCCACTCGGCCACTCTGAGCAGCTCTTCACTCCGTGGACTCAGGAGCGTGAGGCTAATGAGGACATGACGCCTGGTTTGGGCAGCTTGGTATAGTGATCCGTGCCTGAAATCCTAGCGCCAGGGAGGCTCAGGCAGGAGCACTGTGAGGTGGTGGCCAGCTTGGATTACAAAGAGAAGAGACAACAACAAGGAAATGTTACCGCGTAATGCCATTAGAGTTATTTTTTATTTAGAAAACCGCTCAGGCCGTACAGACAGTGCAGAAAGAAGACCCTCCTGTTGTGAGCAAGGACAGAACAGAAACAGTGACTGTCAGCACAGAAGGCAAGGCTTGGGCCTGACTTGGTTGTGGCCTCTTGGAAGTGGCCCAGGTGTCGAGGCATCTGCACCCAGGGCAGCCCAGTCTACACTGTCTGTCCCGTTCACCCCTGCTCCTCCCGTCACCATAGTGCGGAAGTGGGCACCGAATCCCCCTTTCCTTCTGAAGCTGTCAGGTTACCAAATGTGGCATGACTCTGAATTTCTTTTCAGGAAGGGAAGGGCCCACGTGTACCCTGTGGGAGAATTCGATGGTGTGGATTCTGAGGATATTGTGACTGTCACGTAGGTGAAACAGAATGATCTCGACCCAGATCTCAGCACAGCCACCCCTGTTCTCTTCTAGGTGTGGCCACTGTAAAAACCTGGCTCCTACCTGGGAGGAGCTCTCTAGAAAAGAATTCCCTGGCTTGGCAGAGGTCACCATTGCAGAAGTAGACTGCACTGCTGAGCGGGATGTCTGCAGCAAGTACTCGGTGGGTACCGCTCCCGGGGAGGCGAACTGAAGATGTGGATCAGCACCCCGGGGGACTGTCACTTGGCAGCAGGGAATGAGTTCACTGTCCAGCCCTCTCTAGAGAGTGGCTTGTATCTTGAGTTGTGCCACTTGAGAAACAAAGGACTCTCTGAAAGGCCAGCCTTCTCCTGTACTGCAGAGAAGGTTCTGAGGCCTTGCTGGGTCTAGCTGTACAGTACTCAGGTGGCAGGTGTTGAGAGGTGTGCTCCTGCCATCGTGGCCCTGCCTGCCCAGGAGCGGCCTGGTGCCCTGTCCTAACCACCAGAGGGCTCAGCATTCAGTTATAAACAAGCATCCTGAAGGACGGGGCTAAAAGAAATTTAGACATCTAAACCACCCTAGGAAAAGGCCATGGCTAGAGAGTGAGTCTGTTTAACTGGTGCCTTTGTCCTGAGCTCATCGTATGATGGACATTATGGGCTATTATTGGTTCTTGTGTGAGGATGATGGGCATGGAACCAGGGCCTCATCCGTACCCCAATCAAACTGTACTACTGACATTAGTCACCGAACCCCCAGCCTTGCCTATGTGCTCATAGATGTGTGGCCTCCCAGAAGTTGGTATCAGATGTCTGTCTCAGTCACTGTCCACCTTGTCTTCCACTGAGCCCAGAACTGATGGGCTGGGCTGGCCAATCTCAACCCCTCCACTCCATTCCAACACTGGCACTGCAGACGGGCACCCCAGGCTCTGGTTTCTATAGGGTGCTGGGCTCCAAATTCAAGTCCTCATACTTACGTGTGCGGCGCTTTACTGATGGAAGGAACCATCTCCCCTGCCACTCCATTTCCCAGGAACACTGTAGGTGTGATTTCAAGTGCTCTCTTCCTCTCTCTGTCTTGTAAAGGTCCGAGGCTATCCCACGTTGCTGCTGTTCCGCGGAGGTGAGAAAGTGGGCGAGCACAATGGAGGTAGAGACCTTAACTCCTTGCACAGCTTCGTCCTGCGCCAGGCAAAGGACGAACTCTAGGAGCCCCCACTGACGTCAGGACCCTGGCTTCATGCACCCAGTGCATAGCAGTGGCATCCGATGCAGAGCCGCCTGCCCACTGCACTGAGTCGTGTAGTGTCTCCGTGTGTGCCTCTTCAGCCCCGGCACACTACGGATGTGATTGCCTCTCTCTGATCATAGCTCACGGTCCCTGGGCAGATATTCTCAGTGGCGATTCATCCTATAACCTTCTCTTGACAAAATTAAATTGGCTTCCCTTGCTACTAAAATACTGTGAAGGAAAACCAAATTGCTGAACTCTGTTGGCTCCTGAGGGATGTGGGGAAATGCCTCATCTAAAAGCAGGTTTATTTGAACTGTCTGAATTCTGGAAAGGTGGCCTGTGGCATGATGATGTCCCTCTGATCTGAAGGTCACAATTGACTTCATAACGTGGTGGTCCATAGTTTGGAGATGTTAAAACAGAACAAAAATCCACAGAGTTTTGAAGATACCTTTTGTAGCCACTGTTGGGTTCCTGGTTCTGTTAGTGCCTCTCTAGTTGAGAGAGGTGAGCCATAATGATGGTACTTCTGATGGATGTTCAAAGGATCCTCTTGTCTGCTTTGCATAAGGTGGGAGGTGTAGATGTCTTCTGCGGAAAGTGAGGATGTGGGAAGGCCACACAGTGGGTCCTCACCTTTCTGTTTGCCTCCTGGGGCAATAGCGCCCGATGGGCTTGCCCAGGCAGGCCCAGGGAGACTCTGCAGCCCCACTCGGGCTTCCTAGCAACAGCTCTGAATCACTTCCTAAGTCCTTTCAGCAGTTTGTTCTATGATGTCCACCTTCAAGGAGGCTGACCTTCTAATGTATGAGCAGTGGGGTTCATTTGACCTCAAGACCAAAGACCGCAGTTGGCAGGGCTGCCCCAGCCCAAGGTTGGATGTCGCACTAGCTCCTTCTAATTCTCACCGTCCTGGATATTAGACATTGCTGCGCTCACCCTTGCAGAGATGCAGCAAAGCTCGCGCCTGTCTGTCTGTCTTTGCCATTGTGTGCTTGTCCTCAGAAGCACTTTGTGCCCAGCCCTTCACCCACCTTCCATGAGCAGGTGAACTCAACACCTGGCACAGAACGTATCGTAAGGAGACTAGAAACAAGACATCTACTCCTGAGCAGCAAGGGCACCCCGCCAGCCCATTCCGGACATTTATTATTAATCGTGTGTGGGTCACAGCTGTCCTGGAAAACCAGCTCTTGAGGCCCAGCTCACAGTGGCTTCAGCTTTGCATCATGAGTCTTGTATTAAAAGAAAACTCAAGTGGTACAATTGGTTTATACTTTCTAAATAAATTTTTTTTTAAAGAAAAAGTCTGGTCTTTGCTTAAATGTTACAGCAAAATGGATATAAAATAGACAATAAATTATAGTTTCTATTTACAAAAAAAGCTGTAAGTACAGTTACAGATTGTAAATGTATTATTTAATCAGTTTAGTATGAAATTGGCTTTCCCAGTACATGATTGTGAAAAAGACATCTAAAAAATATTCTAAGATTTAATCTGAGTCTTACTTTCTACAAGAGGAAATCGTGGTTTTGGTTCACAAATGGCATGCTTATCTCAACAAACCCATTCTTAGAGGCAGGGGCCCTTCCTCTGTGGGTTTCTGCTGCAGACGAGCCCTGAGCCATGGAATACTACTGTAGGGAAAAGGCAAAGAACAGAGTTAGAAGAGCTGGTGTGTTGGAGCCAGTGTTCCTGATGTTAATGTGCTTGTCCAGCCAGTCTGCCTAAGAGGTGCAGAATCACTTTCTGCTGTTACATGGTTTAGAGGGAGGCTACTGCAGATGCTCATGGCCCTACCACAAAGTATGGTCTGTCTACTTTGGGTTCTAGTAAAGAATTCAGAAACTAAGGGAGGAGGGAGGTGTAGAAATGCAACAGATTGTTTTGAATAAAATTAGTACATTTCACACCACCAAGAGTCAACAAAAAACATGTAACTGCATCCACAGACAAAAGGCACCTCCACAAAGCATGTTGATGGCCAGGATGCAGGTCTTGGGTGAGCTGGCCTTGCTGGGAAGGGAGTGATAGAGCTCTCTCTTCCCCTCCAGTCTGTTATCTGCACAATCTCCCACTGATGAGTGCTACTGAACCAGCTGGTCCTTCAGCCAGGGGATATTTAATATTCCTTCGAGGTTATTCTCTACTTACACCACAAACAGCTAGGTCTAAACGCTAAAATTAGTCTGGGTGGGACTGAAGGAAGTGAGCTCAGGCATGTTTCTGCAGTTCCCAGGCCTGCACTGAAAGCATTACAACTTCCGACAGACGAGCAACTGCTCGGTTATGAACTGGGGAAGTCATCAGCAAGGTCTTCATAAAACCCCCCTTGGGCTAAGGCACCAGCAGGAGATGCTTCCAGAGAGTCATCATCCCACTTCACTGTGCTGCTTCATGTGTTTTAAGGCAGATTTAGTTAGGAATCCAAGGCAGAGTCACCCCCACAACCAGCTTTGACTTAATGGCATCCACAAGCTCTCACAACCATATTCCTGTATTTTTTCAAGATGACATTGGAGTTATCGTCAAAGTAAAGAACCGAGATGGCGTTCAGTTTAGTTGGTGCACAGCATGGTTTGGGGACGTACTCAGGATTCATAAGGTGAACCTGTCCCAAAATAGAAACGGGAGAGGGCACTGTTAGAAATAACACCTGATCTGGGTTCGATCCCACTTACAGCCAAGTCAGGGCACTCACCAAGGTCTGTACAATGGCGTGGTTGGTGGCATTCATGTGCGCATTGAGTGGGAAGGAACACTCTCCATCACAGTAGTTGGCAGCATAGCCTTTGGGTGCAATGATCCAGTCCTGGAGATAAAGCAGAAGGAAGCCGTGAAAGGTCACCAGGCACCCCTACATCATCTGCACTCTCAGTGGCCCCCAGAGAAGGCATTGATCATGGTGCACAGTGGGGACATGCAGGGAGGTTTGGGAATTGCCCAAGTTCACATTCAAGTGAAGCTAAGGGATGAACTTGCTTGGTCTGACCCTAGAGTCTTCAGTCTTTCCAAGCTGCTATGAACCTGTTAGGTCTGGAATTGCGCTTGTGGCTGGCTTGATGGACAAATGCTTCTTGGCTTAGGATGGGGTTACATCCCAAAAAAGTACCAGTTGAAAATGCCCACGCTACACCTAAAAAACTGAGCCTTGTATCTTAGCACGGTGCACCTTGGGGCTGTCGGGGCACTGCAGCTTGCTGCTGCCACACATCATGTCCAGTGATGAGGAGACTCTAAGCCCAGAAAGACTCAACTTCAAAACTCAGAGCACTGTATCTAGTGAACACATACTGCTCCTGCGTCATCATACCGCTGGAAAATGGTCAGTTAAAACATTGTAGGTCAGGATCTATCATGTCTACTTAGACCCAAAGGGTCATCTGCAGGATCCCATTATGTCCCTGTCTAAGTAATGCCACCTACATACAGAGCAACTATTTTTTCCCATTTCTCATCATATTCAGCTGAGCTTGGGGTGAGTCAAACATGTTGGTCCTTTGAGTGAGCCGATGTAGAGCTACTGAAGAAATTAATCATCAGCTTTTTTGGTAATCCTGTTTCAAAGTAAAAGTTGCTTAAATGTCCAAATAAATACATATGTCTGGCGTTTTGAAAGAATGAGGAAAGAGGGGAGCCCATAAAGGGGGCAGGGCGCTTAGTACACCAGCCTGCCAGGTTGTCCTGCCTTACTCCAGCAGCAGCCTGAGCAGTTGAGAGCTTGGATTCCAGAATCAACTCATCCCGGAAGCTGATGGCGGCAGCCTTTGGTGAGTTATGAACAAGGTACCCATCAAGGCCTGTCCCTATTCTGAGGACTCACCTGCCATCCCAGGTCCTGGAAGCTCACATAAAGCTCATGCTTTTTGCAGGCTGTTTTTAATTCACTGCTGTTGTAGTCTGTTGGAGGAGATAAAAGGATGTATTCATTAACTCACTTTTCCTTCACTTAAAAACTTACATGAGAACTTTCCTCTCCTACATGCCAGGTACTGGGTGATGCTCAGGACAGCTGTGAACCAGGCCCCTGTTGGCACACAGCGTCCCCCAACAGTTCAGCTGAGTTTCCAGTCGTTTGCCTAAATTTAGAGCCACTGGAGAAATTAATCATTCGATTTTTTTTTCTAATCTCTTTTCAAAATAAAAGTGGTTTAAATGTTTAAATAACACATTCCCCTTGGGCTGTGAAAGAATGCGATGATAAGAGTTAGAGAAAGCTGGCACCGAGTTAGAGAAGCTTTAGAACACACCGCACTTTGCCCAGCCTGGGGTCTGCTTTGGGCGCCCTGTTGATTTCATGGACACCATTAAAGAGCAGATGTGCATCATGTAATCTGCTTTCTGCAGGGTCTACAGATGGATGTGCGGAGCTCACCACTGGATGTGAGGGATGAGAGTCATTAACAGGTGACTGTGTCAGGCAGAGTCACTGTATTTCAAATGTGGGCGATGCAGACATGGCATAGGGCTTGGGTGATAGCTTCCGGCCCCCAAATGGGGGCAAGGATGACACTGGGCAGCCACTCTCTCCTGTTCATGGGCTCCAGCCTCACTGCCTTTGTTGTACCCTTTATATGTGCCCTAAAACAATCATTCCAAAATCAGCAGTTCCCCGAAACAATCTGCTGAACCCGCCTGGCCTGTGCAATTCAGAGCCACTGGCCTGGCTGAGCAACCCTCATCAGGAGGCCTGGGAACACCTTGATTCATTTCAGCCCATCAGAGCAGTTTTTCTGTGTTCATGCATGTCTTCTGCCTGGTGCCAGGGAAGTAGAGAGATGGATCATGTATAGCTTCTGTCCCCCAAGAACTTGGAGACTCAAAGGGTCTGTATGAGAAATGTACTCAAGTAGCTCAAATACAACTCAGCGTACAAATGGCATGGTCAAGGGTCACGAGTCAATACTACTGAGGCTTATAGAAGGGACAATGAGGGGTTGGGAGGGGAGAGAGCAGTTCTGTTGACTGCACTGGAGCTGGGAGATAAAGCTGGAGAAATGAATGACTCAGAATGCCAACAATGAAATGGACTTTTTAGTGGAAGTAGGAAGTGAGTCTTGGAAGGTTTTTGAATCAGGGAGTTCAGAGCTATGGTTTTAAAAGACACATAGGTGTGTTTGTTAGGTATGAGGGGTCAGAGAAGGGAAAGGAGGAAAAGAAGTTTTGGAGGAAGATTCTTCCTCTAGTATGATCAAGAAGAGAGAGAGTCTAGATCACGCACATACTACCCCTGCCCTTGTTGATCGAGTATACAAACCAATAAGTTACCTAAGAAGATAGTCTAGATCATGCACATACTACCCCTGCCCTTGTCAATTGAGTATACAAACCAATAAGTTACCTAAGAAGATAGTCTAGATCACGCACATACTACCCCTGCCCTTGTCGATCAACTATGCAAACCGATGAGTTCCCTACGAGATAGATAGTCTGGATCACACACATACTACCCCTGCCCTTGTCAATCGACCATGCAAACCGATGAGCTACCTAACAGATGTCTTTGGACTGGAATTCCACACTTTAACTCTGGGAATTCCCAACCCCAAATCAGAAGTGTGCAGAAGTCATAATTTTGTAAAGAAACAGTATCACCTGAGGCTAGTGACCTGGGAAGAGAGATGTGGGTCAAGTATTTACCAATTCTAAACTTACTCATTTCTACCCTCACCCCCTGCCTACCTGACCTTGCAGAAGAACCCCTCCCCCACCTGTAGTTTTAAGTCCACATGAGAAGGAAATTCAGAGCCACCAGAGGGGCAAGTTTCTTTATTCAGGGCATGGAGGATTCTCATTATGACCTACCACTGCACAGACCAGCCTTTCCTGCTGAAAATAACCCATCAAAGAAAAAGGGATCAGGGATCGCAAGTCAGAGTAACCTCTAGATAAGGCTATAAAGGAAGCATAAATAATAGAAAGGCAGGACATACTAAAGCAAGAACATTATGGCAAAAGAACAGGGCAGATAAGAAAAGATAGGTGGATGCAAAAAAAAAAAAAGAACAAGTGGAGCTTTATAAAAACAATAAGCATTGGAAATAGAATGGAAGACTTCACTTAAGATAGAAGAATCAGACCATTCATTTAAAGAAACTTCTTCAAATATAATATAAAAGTAAATGGTAGGAAAATATGACTATCTATAAAGAGACTTGGAAGACAGAATTAAAAACCTGACATTCTTCTATCTGGAACTCCTGAAAACAGTGATAGGGGCAAGTGATATTTGGAGACCTAAAGGCTCTGAGAATTTCCTAGAACTGAAAAAGATAAACACCTTCAAATAAAAGGCATGAGGAGTCCTAAGCAGAATAAATAAATTCCTATGATGTCAAAATCTGGTGAAATGAGAGTATATTAAACAGAAAAATTCTCAAAAGCTACTCAGACTAAAGAAAGATTACTAAGTAGATTGATGGTAAAATTAACAAAAATGTGCGTTCAAATATTAAATATCATTAAGAAAAATCCCACTAATCTAAAATTTTTTACGCAGCTATAGGACTTCCTCACTTTTTAGGGTCCTTGGATCTCTCTCTTTCCTGCTAGCTGGGAACATAGGCTCAGTTTCCTGGAGATTCTAAGGCCCTAGGTCCTTGCAACTATATGATCCCCGACTTGGGTACTTATCTGGAATGTCCCTAATCAACCTAATTCTGGTTTGTCCTTCCTCCAAACTTCCTCAAAATCTTTTGGATCAATCTTAGAATCACCGGCCACATAAAAAGTAGAAATTTCTAAATAAATTTCCTTCAGAGGTCAGGCAGATAAAAGCAATGTGGAATAATAAAAAAATGTACATGGTCAGACATGGTAGTGCACACCTGTAATGCCAGCATTTAGGAACCTGGGAAATTTGAGGCGGGAGTACTCATCATGAGTTCAAAGCCAGCCCGAGCTTCATAATGAGTTCTGGGTCAGCCAGGGCTATAAAGTAATACCCTGTCTCAAAAAATATTTATTTGTCTCTGTTTCCTAGCTGAGGGATAGAGAGCCCTTGGAATTTGCTGATAGGAGTGTTAAGAAGACCCCACCACATACTCACACCTATATCCTTCATTGTAGGCCCATAAAAAGCATCAAGACGGGTGCTGGTCATCAGAAAAGCCTAGCACATGAGAAAAAGGTTGGAGCTCTGGGCCTGCGTCACCTTTGGAGATTGAGTATAATCATGTGACTAATTATTTGATTGTGCACAGCAACAAAATCCCACATTCTATGGTTCACACATGGTATGTTGCTCCAAGGTTTGCATGCTGGAAACTTGGTCCTCAAGGTAAGTTATGAGGGAGAAGTAAAGCGGGCCTCATAGGAGGTAGTGACGTCATGGGGCACCACCTCACAAGGTGCTGCATACCCTTCTAGTGACTAGGTCAGTTACCTTGACACTAGATTCCAATGACGCAAGGCCATCCCATGTTTGCTATCTCCACTGTGTACCGTTTTCTGTCCTTGGATCCATCTTCTGTACACACCATGAGGTCTTAATCACATGTAGCTGCTCAAACTTTTCAGCTTCCAAACCATGAGCTGAAATATGCTTTTTTTTTTTCTCATAAAGTACTCAGTCTCAGACACTTTGTTATAGCAATACAAACTGGACTGAGCTACATAGAAACCGTGGACCATGAGACTCAGCGAGATTTCCAGATGAGTGTACATTCTGATGCTGTAAGAGAACTGTGCACCTGGAGAGGGTACAGAAACTCCAAGACCCCAAACTCCACTCCGCCTTGTTCTAGATCTCTGGTTTGGCTCTTCCTGAGTTTATAACAAAATGGTGACCATAAAATACATAGCCTCCTGGAGAAAATTAGTAAATATGAAGAAGCGGGCACAGAAACTCCTCAACTTGTAGGAAAACCAGACACAAACCTGCGTGCTTGGAGATCTCAGCTCAGGATAGTGTCTGATAGGGTGGGCATGGCACTCCTGCTGGGGACCTTGCTCCAGTGAGTTAGCTCATGTTAGAGCAGACCTAAAGGTCCCCTGGGTGGTCAGTATTCGAAAACTGTTGTCAGAACACAGAAAGGAACAACTTCTTCACCCCTGGACTTCTAGCTTCCGCTCTGCAGCAGACCTGAGATCACATGATCCAAGAACTTTGTCCACTTCCCAACCATCCCAGCTGTCTGTGAACATGTCTGGACTGAACCCCTTGGTGCTCAACACACAGAGCTTTCTGGAAAGAGAAGCTATTTCTTTCAGAGCCAGACATTGACGTTTTTGTTATTAAGGACTGGGGCCAGAGAGAGGAAAAGCAGGAATTCAATCCTCCTGTTTCCTTTCCTACAGATATTCTCAGGCCAAGCTTGTGTTTCCTTATAGTTCCATGGTGAGGGCTGGCAAAGAGCGTATAAATATTTGTGAAGGTCACTGACCTTTGGAATACTTGTTTCTGTAGCTCAGGGGTGGGCGCCCTGCATTCCACGTGGAATGATGCTGACCCAATTTTTTTGTGTGTGTTTTGTTTTTACAGGTTGACAGGCAGCTGAAAAAAAATCCTGTTACCCACACCACCATTGATATCTGTTTACAAGAGGAGTCTGAGGAAGGCCAGGTTTTTATTTTTTAAAGAGTATGTAGCTAAAATTTAATAAGAACATATCCACTTAAATAGGAGAAAAGAAAAGGTCACAGCTTTTGTCCAAGTGGGGGCAGAGAAAGAAAAGGGTAGGTACAGAGTCAGAGGCAAAAACAAAAGCGTGAAAACACAGAGCCACCATAGCCCCAAGGCCAGTGATAGGGCCCTGGACACGGTGTCTGGCTCATGGACGTCACCAGCAGTGCCACTGGAAGGACACTAGAGCTCCATCCAGACCAGGTCAGAACCACCAGGAACAAGTGCCTTGCTGTCCGGGTGGGTCTGAGCACACAAGAGCCACAGGCGCCACCTT